CGGCTCCCCATCGGGGAGGCACAGCCCGGAGACTCAGGGTGCTACATCTGCGACGCCGCCAGCGACCGCATGGTGACAAGAGTGGAGGTGTCGGGTGAGCGGGCAGGAGCTCAGCACCCCGGGGTCCCCCAGCACGGTGAGATGGTGCCGCAGCCCTGGGTGAGGGGAGGGGAGCCATCCCTATAGGAGCCATCTGCCAAGAAGGAACGTGTCAGGGTCGTGGTGAGACGCGTCCCTCCTGCCTCCCCAGCCAGGGTCTGGTTAAATTTAGCCTTGGCTGGCTCCCAGGCGCCGCTCCTCCTGCTTCGGCTGCCAAGGACTGAACTCAGCCTGGACCCTTATCAGCTGGGGATGGAGGACTGGGCAAGGGAAGGAGAGTGTCTGGTGCAGACAGTTGTCCCAGCCCCCCAGCAAGGCTCTCGGGATCAGGGGGCCACTGAAATTAATGGCCCCAACCCAGCAGCTCCCTGTGCAGGGAGGGATGCAGGAGCGATGGGCTCTGCCACCATCCCTGTCTGGGGCCCCTTCCCCAAGGAGACCCGGAGCTGCCAGACGCTGCCAGCCTGCGTGCCTGCCCCACCGGGACCCCTGCCAGGTCCCACCGGGACCCCCAGCCTGCCCCACAGCAACCCCCAGCCACTGAAACCATCCCACAGCTGGATGCACCGTGACCCCCATCAGCCCACCATGGTGACCCACTGCGGGCATCGCTGCCTCTCTGCTCGCAGCAACCCTGTCCCTGGGACACCTTGGGGACAACCCTGAGCCATGCCTTGTCCCCCACACCCCCCAGCTCGGCCCGTACGCATTGTCAACAAGGAGGAGGCGCAGAGCCCGCTGGAGGTGCTGGAGGGGGACAGCGTGACACTGGTGGCCCGGCTGTCCCCAGAGATGGCAGCGGCACAGTGGCAGAAGGACGGACAGACGCTGCGCTCGGGCGGGCGGCTGCTGGTGTGCAGCGAGGGCCCCGCGCGCAGTCTCACCATCAGGCAAGCGGAGCTGGGCGACAGCGGCATCTTCATCTGCGACGCCGGCGACGACGAGGTGCATTTCACGCTGCGTGTGAAAGGTGAGCCTGGAGGCATCCCTCAACCACGCCGGGATGCTTCGTGCCCCGACTCCATGCCGGTGCCACCAGCGTGGGCACAGCTGAGCCTCGCGCTGCCCCGGCACAGAGCCCCCAGTGCTGTTCATGAACAAGCGGGAGGAGCGGGAGAAGCTGCTGGT